AGAGGGAGAAGCAGGCTCCCAAGGAGCAGGGAGCCCGATGTGGGACTCGATCCCAGGACCCCGGGATCATGACCTGAGCCGAAGGCAGACGCTTAACCATCTGAGCCACCCAGGCGCCCCATTTCAACCTGTTTTATATGTCCATAATGGCTTCTAAGCACTCCCTACTCCTTTTTTTTTTTCAGTCCTGGATAAGTAAAAGGGAATGGGGAGGTAATAACAGAACTCCAAGAAAATGAGATAAAGGGGGCTTTCTGAAATATTTCCCAAGTATACGTGCATACACACTAATTCCTGTGTCGAAAGAACAACACAAATAAACACATTTTGTAAAGGAAATGAGATGCTGATTGCCAGCTTTTTCCTTTTAAAGAAGAGTTTAATTTCTGTCTTGTAGTCAACTCACAACTCAGCAAATGTGTGTGGGAACAAATTTCCATTTACTTTATTTCCATGAACTTAAACCTGATGGTCAAAGGGACTCATGTACATTTCATCTCTGCTTGTGGTCAAGTACCAGGAGTTCCTGGGCAGTACTGGCCTAAGAGATTTCCCTGAGACAGAGCAAAGTAACTTAGCCAGAACCCTAAACCACCCGAAATAAATATCCAAACCAGCCGGCCTTCTGTCTTGTCTGCTTCAACACAAAAATGGATATCCTGAGGCCTAAAATCTACTTAAAGTAACAGGCACTACCCATTCAAAGGTAAATGAGTCGTTGGGACAAGAACTGCTGTTTGGGGATCGAGGCCGTTTCCTCCAGCTGTAAATTCTGATCAAATAATTAATGTTTAGGGTTAGCTAATATAGACGGAAAAGGACCTTATGATTTGAAATGCCTTTGTGGTTAAAGTTCTTTATTACTGTATAAAAGTATGATTCAATATCAAATTAACAGGAACATCCCTATAAATAGTTCAGCTTCCAACAATATACAGAGATCAAAGATGCAGAAAGAGACACTTTGTGATTGACTACAACCCACTGTGCTTGAAGGTACATCTGATTCTGATGGCAAGATTTCTCAATGTCAAAAGTTCCACCCATGTAGATGGCAGAGCACATTGCTCACTGAATCACTCTGGTGTCCGGACTGAGTCGGGGGCTAGTAGATGCACTCCAATCCCTATGGGTGTCATTCAAAAAGAGGCCAAATCAATGAATCAGTTTTGCCTCCCAGGTACGAAAACAGTAAGATCAGGCGCTGGAACTCTGGGGTCATAAAATATCACTCTGAAATGACAACCTCAAGGTCTGGAAAGAATGATTCAAACCTCATCACTATGAAAATCAGATTTCCAAACTAAGAAAAATGGACCATTCTGATTTTGGAAAAGTCTTCCCTCTTCATAGGCCGGTCTGGGAGGGGTCAGCTTAACCTCAGAAAACCATCATTTTCAAAACACACACATTTTATATAAAGTAATAAAATGCCAAACAAGAATAAAGACTAACAGCGTGTTATGTGTAAAGTACATGGAAGTGACTTGATGAAAGGAGAGGAGAAGAAATTGACGCCTAAAGCAGGAAACTTGACAACAAAAGTCTATAGGTGCCACGCAGGTAACATAAATCTGTAAGGATGCTTGCATTAAATACTTCGGGAACGGTAAAGATTAGCAAACTTCAGTCCCTGGAATAGTAACAGGACCAGATTTTTAATCTTCCAAGAGAAGCCAGGTATCTTACTGTTCTGTGAGGTTTCCAGATTGTCCAGTGTTGGCAATTAATCCAATTTTAAAAAGGAAAATGTTTACAGGTTAAAAGATTATAATCTAAAACTTGACCTACGGGCTGCTGTTTTGCAAGCTCTGCTCTAAAATGTAATTTTAAATAATGCAGTAATAAACAGAAAGCTTCTCACATAACTATGATTACACTAAATTATTGAGCCTTGGTTTCTGCTCTACCAAGTGGAACCAGTCCACGCAAGGAAAGGGTAGGAATGGTATCAGAAGATTTGGGGTGTTTCCCAAATTACAGATGTCTAAATTATCGCCACCACCACCCCTGTGCCCCAGGCAAATAAGAGTTTGAATAGAGGACACATGGCTTGTGAGAGCCCCCAAGAACTCTACCGGTACACCCTCCACTCTGGGCGTCACTGACCTCAAGAAAGTAGAAAGCTTTATATGACTGGGAGGAACGTGTCCAAATTGTGAAGACCAAAGTCACTGAGCCTAAGGTATCATATAGCCTATGTGAAGTGGCTCGGAAAATAATAACCGCAAATAGCAAAGATGACAAGGAGCCCCCCCATGGTTAGCATTGTTGATACCATGTTAGTTATTTCAGTTTCTTGGGAAAAAAAGAAAATCAACTACTTGTTTTCTAAGAAAGACTATAAAAAATGGATGCATCTTGGGGCACCTGGATGGCTCAGTCGTTAAGCGTCTG